TCTCTTTTCATTTGTAGCTGTGGTTCAATCCGCTTTGAACCACTGTCCCTCTCCAGTCTGACCTCTGCCACTGCAGAGGGTGGAATGAACCTTCAGAAAATTGTGGGTTACGTGATGTCTGGACATCCCTGTTGCATTTTTGTCTTCATGTCTCCACATTAAACAGCTGCGCTGTGAAATTTCTGCTATGACCAGTTAGGGTAGAAAACTTAGTGCTTTCACTAAAAATGAGAAATCACCGACTGGCTTATTGTTCAGCATAAATTAAGGTAAACATGGTCTCCCTGTTTTCAAATCTCCAAACTAGCCTGAACTTGCTCTTCAGCATGACTACGCTCTTTCAAGCAAAATTCTGCATGGTTTCCTCCTAGTCATTGCCAAATGCGTCTCCATAATCTGATTTATTTACTTTTGATAAATAATTACAGTGAAATGCTTTGACTACATTTTCAGCTTTTTGATCTTAACCCTCCATAAATGGGGATAAAAAGCTTTAGGTATGCAAATATAGTTATGTAGATATATAGAAAACATCCATATGAGAGCATTGTGTGGCCAGTTAAAAGATGAAGTTGAATGAAATTTGTGGTAAGCTTCAGCTCTGAGCTCTGAGTCGTGGTTGGATGACAACGCAATGCACATTTTTCTTGATAATGTTGCTCTGTCCTGACTGTTAACATATCTGGAGAGTTGAAACTTCTGTTTTCTCTTCATATGGAAAACCTGGAGTAGATATCTTTAAGTTTACACTGAAATATGTATCTGCAAGCCCTTGTAATAGTGTGTTGACTGTAGCCTCTCTGCAGCAGACTGGAAAAGAGTGAGGGACACTCTGGAAAAAACGGAAGAAAACTTGTACAGTTCTACACCAGCTCTTAGGGACAAACTCTTGAAAGAACTGAAGAACAATGGCCTTGTTATTAAGGTGTTAGACTGGTAAGTTGATGATTTGGATTTATGTGTTAGCTTTGCAAGATATCACTTATCTGAACATGGGGAGGTCATTTAACCTTTCTGAGGCTCCATTTAGCATCACTGCAATGAAAATAATAATACTTATTTTCTGCTGTCTACTTAGGCAGGTTTTGTAGAGCTCTGAGTACTGCTAAACCTTGAGCTGATGCAACCCTGCGGGCATTGCTGCGCTTACTGGTCAGCACTGGTCTGCTTTATGTGCTTCTGCTATGCCTCCGGAGGAGAACGGAGAGACAGGAGGGAAGGTGACTTTCTGGCATGTTTTTGTTCCCATCTTGCCTCACTGAATGTCTTAGTTTGTGGAGCAACAGCCTAATGTTGCACGTGAGGAGCTGCCTGCAGGTGACTGAATGCCACTTAGTGGCTGCGAAATGGATGATCAGAAAGAAACCAACTGCAAAATGTGCCAGACCCATATTAAATTCAGGAGAGTTTCCAGCCATAGGTTTTGTTGTGTAAGTAACAAAGACCAACAGGTGTTCCAGCATCTGTGGGTCAAGATAGTGAAGTTTGTGTGCTTTCACCAGCTTGGCTCACATCCCTGGGAAAACCCTCTCCTGGGGATCTTTTAGAGGAATGGGCTGTGCCTACCTGGGGCTTGATCGGACACTTCTCAGTGGAAAAGTTCTCCAGTGGAAAGTGTGAGAGAGGGGTCAGTTACGTGAAGTAAGGGGATGATTGTGGTTGCAGGAGAGAGTTGGCGTCACCACGGGTTTGCCTACTTTGGGATTTCTATTTGAGCAATAAACTGAACCTGAAAGAGAGAACTGAATCCAGGTTGGCCACAGTGGCAGTCCTTTCTGAGCAAAGAACTGGGCAAGCTCTTTACAGGTACTGAAGAACACCTTTTTCAGAGTGCTAACTATCTATTCTATGTTCAGGAAAAATAGGCTAATAGTTCCTTCCTTCCTTCTCCAATTACCTCATTTAACAGCCATTTTGTTTTTCTGTGGGTCTTAGGTACTAACAAGGCAGTTTTGTCTCCTTTGCTCCTTCTGCTCGTTGGAGCTCTTTTTGCAGTGGCTACCATGATCATGAAGCACCTGCTTTTGTTTGAGGCAGTGGGAGACCAAAAATCGTGCTCAATGATTATTTGGTGATGGTGGGAGGATTTCATGCAATCCTCTAAGAGCAGGAGGCTTCCATCTGCAAACAACGTCCCACCAAGAATTAAAATACTGCACGTAGATCTGTGTGTTTATCGTAATTCACTAAAAGATTTTAGAAGTTTCACTTCAATAACGAACCAGGGAGAACTGAAGAAATTAGTCTGTTTTAGAAGTACAGAACAGTAGCTGTTGCAACAAGAAGCCAGTTTCAATTGACAGGGAATATTTAGCGCAATTTCCTGTGTGTTCAGTAAACAAGAAGAAAAAGGCCATGATGCTTAAGGAAAATGTAGTAGGAGCAGAGGTGACTGAAGAGCAGTTGAGACTTTTTTCTGATAGTGAACTCAGATTATAGGATGAAATACAAAGACTCTGGCAAAGCAAGTGCAAAGCTTCCTTGCACTTCAGAAGATCTTGGTATTAAACCACTTTGAAAGCTCCATTTGTAGCCCATTTTGTAGCATGCTCGTTTTTATTGCTTTTCACGAAAGGATATTAACGTTTCCATAGCTATTTTCTTCCAGTGATTGGCTTTTTTCTCCTTCAGTACTGGCGGCTTTCAATTCATAGTTCCAATGCAAAGTATGCTTCATGGCAAAATACTTTCTTTAACTGTTGTTATGGCCTCTGTTCATCTGCAAATCCAAGCCCTATGTGCAGCAATGAATTGGTCTGCTGCCAGTTAATCTTCAGTATCTCTACTGCATCTGAATCTGCTCAGGGTACAATCTTGTTTGTCCCCTGCCATTTTGGAGTGAGCCTCCTTTTTCCCACTCCCGCCTTAGCTCACTCAAACTGCCAGATGCCTTTAAAAGGGATCTGGGGAACAGTCCTCTCTTCTGGCAACATGTTTTTTTCAGCACTAACAAAGAACAGGAGGTTTAACAAAAGAATCTCTCTTATTTCGTCTCTCTCCAAAACTGTTCATTTGGACTGTAGTATTGAATTGCCTGAAATAGTCTTGCAAGGCGACTTAAAGAAATGGGCTCTTGTGTCATGGCACAGGTCTGCTCCTCTGGGTATCTGTGCATTGCACATGGGGCAGAGAAATGCTGAACTGGTTTTTTCTGGTTGGTATAGCTGCTTATCCAGTTAGTGGAGAGTGGCCAGCAAGTTTCAAGCTGCCTAAAACTTTTTTTGACTTTCCTTTTTTAGTAGAAATTCTTGCACACAACATAGTTTGATTACTGGCCACCCTGCTGGTCTGTCTTACTGTTTCCAACAGCGAGTGGTGCAATTCAGCTTTCTCCGTGGCTGGGTGGTTGCAGTTGCTTTCCAGTGAGCGATGCCATCATGGAATGAGATTTGTTTTCCAGGAAACCTTTGAAATTGGTTGATTCCTTCTGTGAAGTATTCAGCTCTCACTTTAATTTCTTCAGATCATAATGCCCAAGGGACTTTTGCAAGCATCTATTGTCTTCCTCCTGCGAATTTATAAGAACAGCTCAAGGTTTTCGTTTTTGAAAACTGCCTCATCCCTTCCCCATGCTACCTTTTTATGTTCCTACAGCTCGCTTATAGTCAGGGTATTGCAGGTTGTTACTCTTAAGATAGTGGTAATGAAGGTTGCTGGGGTTTTTTCTTCTCTTTTTTTCCCCCCGCCATGGTGCCATCCTGTTCTTGCATCCTGTAGATAGAGAGTAAGCAAACAGCAGGAAGCAGTTTCATGGCAACCATGCTCTTTTTCTGTCTCTTTTGAAGATTATGCAAAAAGAATGTAGCAAAAAAAATGCAGAGACAGACCTGTGTAATGGCTCTGCTCCTCTCTTGGAGTACTCCTTGGGTATTTCTCCTGATTTTATCTCTCAGTCATATGATCACTGCTCCATAAACCAGTCTTTCACCTCTCCCACCGCTATAAGACCCATGGAAAACTCCACAGACAGCATCACTCTCCATTTTCCCTGTGACCTCTTCTGGGGCCAGTGGTTTTCCATTGTTTCAACCAGTTTTTAAACAAAGGGATGTTACACTCACTTAGCAGAGAGCAATGTGGCTATCACAGCCAGCAGCTTCAGAAAGGTGTTGCGACTCCATTGTTGGCAACACATCAGAATAGAATGAGTTTTAGGGATGCCAAAATAACCTGTTCTACTGCCCAACAGGGTTGAAGTCTTCATTATAATGCACTGAATTTGTTACTTGCATTGCCGAACATGCAACTCATGCAAGCTTTTACTTGTGTGAGTCAGCTTCTACACTCTTGGAAGCTTCTGCAGAATTATGTTCTAAATCAGTTATATGCTCAAAAGATGTGATTTCTCATTGCTTCTGTGAAGGAAAAACATGGAGGCACTTTTGATTGCTCTGAATTTTATTTGCTCTCATATTTAATGTTATAGTCTTATAATCTTTCAGGCAGCATGCACAGACAATTTTAAAAACTTTTTTTTTTTTTATTTCCTTGTTACAGAACACTGCATAGAGATTAATTTTCCTGCAGTGGTTTCTGAATTCTAAAATGCCAAAACTACTGCTCACAAGAACTGCCTATTTTATATTGCTCTTCCATCTTTAGTGCTTCTGCTGCTCTGCTCTGGATACACAGACCTCTTTAGAGGAATTAGGGAATACTTAATAAATGTAGTTTTTTGTTGCATCTCCTTTTTTTAATGGCTCACTTAATTTTCCTGTACATTTAAATGCTTCTGTTTTTTTCTGTTGGTGTTTGTTTGTTTGTGTTTTTTTGGTTAATTTAGTGTACAAATACAAAGGTACCTGAAAACTTGGTTCCCCCATCCAAAGTAAGAAAACCTGTTACTGCTGTGGAGAAGTCCCTCCATGTTACAGGGGATGAGTTCTCCTATGATTTATTCTTTTTCTAAGAAGGCTGACTTTAACTTCTTGGATAAGGAATGTGATTAACCCACAGGTTGTATTGCAGCTACTTTTTTAACCTTCCAAAAGGATCCTTACTCTCTGTGCCTCTGAAACTGGAAGCAACCTCGATCTGGCTGCCCCATATGTCACATCACCATCCTCAGACCCCTTTTTCTTCTTCCTCTGCAGAGACGTTACAAGAATTAGCATACTTACCTCAACTGTTCCTTGGCTTCTGCTCAGAGAAATGTCCGTCAGATATTTGAGCTTATCTGAATGTTGCAAGTCTCAAACACCTGGTAAACTCTGTTTTCTTCGTGTCTTCCTTTCCTTTTGCTCTTCTTGTCCCATCAAACTCAGAGAAGGAAGCAAGACTGATTTCTAGAGGATTTAGCTGGCAGATTGAGAAATGCAGTAGGGACTGCTCCAGAGTGAAGGAAAAACGGTCCTCACAGTTTTGAAATGGGTTAAGGGTGTCGCGAATGAGTGGTTAGGTCACTTAAATCATCCCTCAAAGGTTTTGCAAGAAAAGATTTTACTGCAAATTTAGAAAATGTGATTTTACAAAATTCGTTGGCAAGGTTCACTCTATTACTTATTAAATGAATGGAATACAAAATCAAAAGGGGGGGTGAGTAGAAAATGATTTATACAGAGATAAAAGTGTAAGGGGTAAGGGAGACCCTCCCGTTGAGTCACCAGGTTCGGACTGGTCCCCCTTGCTTTCTAAACTTCTTCTCAGAGAGGAGCCTAGGTGTGGCTGGATCCAGAACTGGCCTTAGACCACAACGGTTTATGTCTAAAGGATATGTTTAGCAGCAATTCATGGTGTGTTCACAGTTTAAAGAAAGAGAGAATCACAGGAACTTATCAGCTATTAGTCACTGGTTACCTTAACATTTCCGGAGTGATTAAAAAGAATTTGCTATTACAATCACAGTAATGGAGTATTATGTTTGAATCGATTCACACACACACACACGCAATCATAAAAATTCCCCTCACATTCAGTGAAATACTCACATCAAATCAAATGATTTCTCAATGGGTGAAGGTTGAGTCTCAAGGAGATCAGCCCAGTTAATGCCAATGGAGTTCGAGTTATTCTGAGAGGCGTCCCACTCAGAGGGAGTTACTGGGCACAGCCCACTGCCATCCAGAAGAGCTCACAGGGCCTTCCTTGGTACCGCTGTTTATAGGGTCTCAGCGTGACTGACTTTAGGCATCAGTAATTTTCCATCCTGGTCACGATCCACATGATGTAATCCTGATACTTAGACAGTAACTATACAATTCCAGTACTTCCCAGAATGTACAGTTCTGACATTTACCAGGCAGGTGCGACTCCAGGCATCAGTGGTTCCAGGTGCGATGGGGATGTGTAATCGACCCAACTCACTGCTCTTGTACAAAGACAAGGAATGTGCCAAGTTGTCCCAATTCACTGCCTTCATACAAAGACAAGAGAAATGGCACGTCGCACCAACTAACTATTCTTCAGGTGTACGCAAGAATATAATGTTGGCTAGTTCTGAGGTCGCCAGGTGTGACCAGTCATGCCAGCTAACTATTCTTGCAGTGTAAGCAAGAATAACATGTTGGCTGGTTCTGGGATCACCAAGTAAGGGGTGGGGCTTGTACCACCACAAAGGCGAATGGCAAATATTGGTATCAGCCAACCTGCAGAGATGCAGTAGCTTGTCTCAGAAACTGGTAGGGCTGAGAGCTATCTGTTTGAGACTCTAAACCACACTCATAACTCATAAAAATCCACTGTTGTGAGCAATGTTTTGTCTGTGGTAAATATGTTTCTGTAATCCTGAGATTTCACTGCCTTCTACAGTCATTAACACTGGTAATAAAAATGCATCCATCTGCATCAACACCTTTAAATTACTTTATACTTGCTCTGGGATGAATTTAATCCTGTATATCTATTATCCAGTAAAGCAAATGTCTGCTTGATATTAGATTATATTATGGTTTGCTGGTTTTCCTTTTCACAAAAAGGAGAGAAGTTAGGGAGAGTTATGGTAATTTCATGTCCGTTTATGTCCAGTATGCAAAAGTAGACTGGGACCTAAAACAAGGCCCAGTGACCGTGGTGCTGAGATTTATAGCTGTTAAAGTAAATGCTGTATTTCCAGTAAAATTAATGGGTCACAGTCTAAAGCGCTTTGGTAATATTTAATATTCAGACTTCAGGCACAGACACACCTTTGCTTACTGCTGTTAACCCTTGGTTACTGCTTCTTTCCTGGAGGGTTTCACCTCTAGAACTGAGGTGCCAGAACGCACTGACGCAGAGGAGTGTCAATGGTCAGGTCTCGTGGTTCAGCCACACAGACAGTAACCCCAGTGGGAGCGGGAATGTAAACACTTCCAGTTCACTTTGCAAGAGGAGATCTGACTGTACTCTCGAGGCACTTGCTTGCACTGTAAAATTTCACCATACTTTTTAAATTTAGATTTTGGACAGATTCACAAGTCACTTTTCTATTTTGTTATTTATTGTTTGTAACAGAAAGGTGCCATGGGAAGCTACGTCAAGCCACAGACAAGGATGCCATTATGCTGGGTACTGTATAGATACAGGCTGAGAAGAGGGTTTGAAGATTTATAGTACATTTAATTTTCCATTTGTTTGTCATTGATTTAAATTATGTAGTTACAAATATCTTAAATCTGTATAAGCCGGCTTTTCTAGGAAAAGGAAAAGGAACTCTGCAGCCTAAAGTTTGCCTTTTCTCTTATACAAAGTTAAAGAAGTCAATGCAAATATATTTTCCATAGAGGAAGCTGTGTTTACTTGATGTTTCCTTCTGACCCTGTTTTCACATTGTTCTTGGTGCTCTGTGCTTGTTTTCCATCTGCTGCCTGCAGACTTCCCACTTTTCTTAGGTTCCTGGGTCAGCTTTTTTCCCCCTTCTTTTTTTTTTCCCCCATTTTTTTAAACAATTACACTGAAAGCAGTGGTCAAAACTTCAAAGTGAAATCATGTGTTTGGGGGTAAAAATGGTAGAAGTGAGCTATAGTCTGGCTGAGAAACTCCAGAGGCCCAGGTATCTGGATGACAAAGTAACTAGGATAAGGACAGAATGTTAGCTGTAATTTAAAAGTCTGTTTTCCAAGCTTGAGGCAGATTTAATATCAGGGGACAACATCCAATTTCCATAATAAGTCCTACAGGCAGCTGGGAACACATCTCTGAGGAGTAACATGTGTGTCCCTTTTCCCCAGTTACATCAGAATAAGTGGGGGTTAGGTGGGAATGACACCAAGCCAATCTGTTAGCTTTGACCTGTCCAAGAGTTACACTTCTGAAGCATAAATTCCCACTTCCCTAAGTCAGTTTTCTTGTTCTTTTGTGAAACCTATTATGGCTTCTGTGAAGACGTGTGAGAATTTTTACTGTTTTGAGTTGCTAGATGGTGTTTCCAGTGCTGGAGAAACAGAGTAGAATAAACACGGCCAGAAACATGGATCTGGAGAAGGAAAGTCATAATTTGAGTGTCCTGTTGTGTTCCTCCTTTCTCACAGTATCAAGCATAGACCAGTCATCACCGATTCAACCTGCATGCCTCACTGCTGCCCACTGTTATCTCTCATCAACTATCACTCTCCATTTCTCTTATGATTTTTTAATTTATTCAGTAACTTATTTTCTCCAGGTACTTTTTCCCCCTCGGTGTCCATTATATGCTGGTGGAGCATCAAACAACCCCTTGAAATTCCTGCATTGCCTTTCAACCAACGTCTCTGTACTATCTCCGGTCAACAGAGCCAAGCAACTGGCATGTTATGATTTCAGGTACTCCCCTTGACACTTTCACTGTTACGTGGCGCTTCCACATCCACTATTTTTCCTTGTTCTGTTTTGTCACTGACTTAGGCTAAGTGACCAGCTTTCTGTTAGGTCCACAAGGGCTTATCGGAATGCTTATTGATTCAGTACTGCAATAAAAATAATAAACATTAAATTATAGAATGGTTGTAATTATAATAATGGAAAAGTACAGAACTGGAAAGGATCCTACAAAACAAACGAAAAAAACAAAGTGGAAACTCAAGAAGCAGAATAAGCAAAAAAAGGACACTGAAATGAAGAAAAAAATCCAAGAGAAAAATGTAAACAGGAACAGATGGGAAGTAACAAAATAAGAAGGTAGACAAATTTTGTAGAAAAAGATATGAGAGGGGGCAAAAGAGGAAGAGAAATGCTCAGAGATGGAAACAAAAAAGTAGAGTTCTAGTACTTCTAATGCAGACAAAATTTTCTGCTACCTTTCCTGTGAAAGGTTCGGAATCTGGCTTTGAACTCTTCATACAGACAAAATTAATGAACTTCAGCTGAGGAAGGTAAATGCATGTCATAAACACTGTTAATCTTTGGGGAACTTATAGCAATATTAGTAGAAAAAAAAAGATTTGTTTCTATGTTTACAGACTTAGCATATTAATTATTTAAAAATGTTTTTGAGGCTGCAAAGTAAGGTTTTGCTGGTGATACTGAGTAAAACCCAAATGAATAAAGACCAGAGGTTGTTTTGAAGAGTTGCAGAAAGATCTAATGCTATTATCGTGTGATTGAATGGTGAATGAAATTCGTGTAGATATGCATAAAGGTAATGAACATGGCAAATCCCAATATCTCAGCTTTAAATACACACTGAGGGATACTCAACTAGCTAGTACTGTTCAGGAACTTCAAAAGGCAAGCCCATAAAAATGTAAAATCAATGCTGAGTAGCCACCAAAAAGGGGATAGAATTTAGGAATTATTAGGAAAATATTAAGAAAAGAAATGAGATAACATAGTTTTGCTGGTAGGTGTTCTTGGTGTGCTCACATCTTGAATACTGGATGCGGTTCAGTTCTCCCCTCTCAAAGAAGAGCAGAGAATAGTGATATGTATGGATGAATACATGGGATGGTTTGAATATGAAGAACAATTAAATAGACCATGATTTTTCTTCATAGATAAAAGACAGATAGGTGAAGAATATGATAATAACATGAGTGGCACAGGAAAAGAACAAAAAATAATTGTTCACTGTGTCTTCTCATCCAACACCTAGGTGACATCAAATAAAACTAATAATAAAACTACAGGACAAGGGGTAATGGCTTTAACTAAAAGAGGGCAGAGTTAGATTAGATATAAGGAAGAAATTCTTTACTATGAGGGCGGTGAGGCACTGGCACAGGTT